TTAGCTCGTTTATTAATTAATTAATAAAAATCTCGAAGACGAAAATTTTAAAGAAAAAGAAAAAAGTAATATTTTTATAAACAATTGAGAAAAATAATAAAGTTTAAATGGTTGTTAAAACATTCTCTCTCTATGTATATAGATAGATTTTTATATGAATAGGTTATATTTTGCTAAAAAGAAAAAAATAATATTTTTATAAACAATTGAGAAAAGTAATAAAGTTTAAATGGTTGTTAAAACATTCTCTCTCTATATACATAGATAGATTTTTATATAAATAGGTTATATTTTGCTGTCTAACCTGATGTTATATTTTGTTATGTATAGATATTATATATGTTAGTTATAATAAAAGAAAAAGAAAATATTTTAAAAAAATAACAGTACTTTTTTCTACATTTTATTACTTGCAAATTGCGATAGATATTAATAGACCAATATATTGTCTCTTTTAATTCATTTTTAATTAATTTCTTTAAATCCGTCATTTTTCGAAATAACAAATTTAATTACTTTAAACGATTATAGGACTGTTAACAAATATTTGTGAAATAAATTTCTTTTTTCTTTTTCTTTTTTTTTTTTTTTTCGAAAAATTAAGTTAATTAAGTCTATTGATTGATCATCAATAGTCTTTTTATTATTATATGCACTATACTTCCTTATTTATAAATTACGATTTTTCATATTCGGTATCTTATAAAAAAAAAAAAAAATAGCGTCATATAAAAATACACATATGTTCGTCTAGACGAGAAAAATGATTGTCAATTAAATTAAAAAAAAGAAAAGAAAAAGAAAGAAACAATCAAACAAATATAGGAAGGACAATCGTTGAAGAGTGGCATCGAACAAATTTAAACTTTTCTCCCTTTTGGCTACTCGGCACGTGCAGAAAGTGATTAATTTTAGTTTTTACGAGAATGAAAGAGAGAGAAGAGAGAGAGAGAGAGAGAGAGAGAGAGAGAGAGAGAGAGAGAGAGAGAGAGAGAGAGAGAGAGAGAGAAAAGAGTCGATAATAATCGTTTATAGCATCGAACGCCGGACCTCTACTCCAATTATTTGTTGCGAACCCGTACCGAAGGCTTTGAATTAATTTCGTTTCCTGCCACTTGATACCTACTTTGGCTATAACACAATTATCCGAAAGTGACGATCAAATTATCTTGCATGATCGATCAAACGATATTATTTAACATTAAATACAATATCTTTCGTATCATTTCTATAATATTAACGTGAAAATTATTCTTTTCTTTCTTTTGTTTTTTTTTTTTTTCACTTGAAAATTTCGTTTACTTTTTGTAACCGCAAAAGATGTGTATTATAATTTATTGTACGATAAATATTACTTTGATGTTTCTTATTTTTTCCTTTTTATTATTTGGATCTTCTTTTTTATTTTTATTTTTATTTTTATTTTTATTTATTTATTTTTTTTAAATAAGCAAAAGATATATTATATTTTCTAAGAAAAAGAGTTCAATATAATTATTACTCATAGTATAATATAATTATTAATAGAATAATATAATTATTATTTATAGTGTATTTTAAATAGTTCAATGATCATAATAAATATAATAGAGTTATTTCTTTTTCTATTTATTTATAATAACGTATAACAAATATAATTCTTTTTTTTGTCCCTTAATTTTTCAATAATTATTTTTATAAATAAAGATGATTCATATCTTCTTACATAGATATATGTTATTACATAAATCATTTACTGGAAAATTTTATTTTTATACAAATAAAAAGAGTTTATCGATACAATTATTATTGTCTTTTATTTTTTTTTTTTAATTTATACTTTAAAAATCATTTAATGATTGACGATTTTTAAAAGAATTTCTTTCGTATCTTTCAATTGACACAAGGATCTTTTTCTTCCTCAAGATTTTATCCTGTATAAATAGAGTAATCTAAATAAACATAAACGTATCTATAAAAGGGAGAATTGTTAAAATCATTTTAGATATTTTTTTATTAAATTTCCTTAAATATTTTTTATTACACTTCTTATTCACACGTTTAACTTTCTTTCTTTTCTAGGTACGCATTTATTTAATTTAAATAATGATGTTACAAGATATGTATCGAGTATAGAAAAAGTATTATTTTAACGAATACATTGAATAATATAATTTGCAATAATATTCGTACGTCGTAGAAACGATAATTATTATAAATAATGATTATTATGAACAAAGTCTTTGGAATAATGTTAATTATTTAATTTACGTAGTTTAAACCATGATAGATCCTTATTTTTTTTTCTTCTTTTTTTTTTCTTTTTTTTTTTTTTTTTTTTTTTTTTTATAGGTATATTTAGCACACGTTCTACAATTACTTACTTTATATATTTATAGTATTTGGTATATAGTATATAGTTCTTATATTCAGAAATAAAGGAAACATTCGGGTGTTAAAATTTAAGCATACGTTATGCAATTTGTTAATTCTACAATTACTTCATATATTTATATGTTACAATTGCTTCATATATTTAATTCATATATTTATAATATTAGATATCATACAGCATATCGTTTATATTCAATAATACAAGGAAACATTATTCTGGTAGAATTTAAGCAACCGCTATGCATTTTGTTAATTCTAAATACATAATAGATTTATGTATATATACGTAGATTTCTATATGCATGGATCTACTATATACGTATATACATACAGATTTCTACATATATACACACATAGATTTCTATGTCATAGACGCGTAGATAAATTTCACTCAGCTTGTTGGTATCAGACAAAGCCAACAAATTTCTCGATTGCAGTACTTTGCTTTCCATCATAGAAACTTACTAATTAATTAATCTTTAGATGAATATGTTTACTTAAAATGAGATTGAACCAATTCGTACAATAGTAAGAGAGAGAGAGAGAGAGAGAGAGAGAGAGAGAGAGAGAGAGAGAGAGAGAGAGAGAAAGGGAATGGGAATATGATAGAATGAGATAGACAGATACATTTATCAGAAAGAGAAGGAAGGAGAGGGAGAGAGAGAGGGAGAAATAGAAATAGAGAGAGATAGAGATGGATAGACTGAATATGATGGAATGAGATAGACAGACGCATCTTCCGCACGCGTAGAAACAACGATCGATTTTCACTCGAGTGCTTGGACAAATTAATCTGCCCTGGTAGAGCTCCTGTTGTTGATAAAACTGGCCGGTGGATCGAGTGGACGATGTAACAACTACTGGATCCAGCAATGGCATCAGTAATAGCACATCCCTTTTGCGTCCAACGAGTTCACGTCGCAAGAGAACTAGCGATTGTCGTTATTGGAAGAGAATGAGGTGGGGATGGTGGGTGGGATTCGGGAAGCTGGAAGGAGAGAGATAAAAAAGAGAAATAAATGTGTGTACGTTGTAGGTATATATACAGGGTGAGCTATTGAAAGTTTGCATCTATTATAAAATATTTTCAATGGTGCGAAAAAAAAAAATACGTATATAAAAGATCGTTCGATTTAATTAGAGGATCGATACATTTTCTTCGAATTCGTCTTTTTCGAAATTTCAAGATTATCCGGATATTATTTATTTATTTTTATTTTTTTATTTTTTTTTTTTTATTATAGATCAATATATCCTTATCATCGCAATCTTGTATTGTGATTTATACAAAGGTGTGTTTAATGATACAAATTTGTCGACCTTTGGACAACCTTGAACAAATAATAAAAAGGTTTAGAAAAGAAGGAAAGACGAGAGAGTTTAAAATTAATAAAATTAATATTTTCTTAATCGAACAATTTCTTTCATCGACATTTTGTCGTATCATCGAAGCCGACAATAAATATTTCAAAATGCACGAATAAATATTTCGAGATGAAACACCTTATATATATATATATATAGTTACAAGTTTTTCTCTTTTTTCTCCCCCTCTCCACTACCTACGGCTTTGTCCGTGTAATCGGTTCGTTTAATTCGCACAAGGGACCCTTTAATTGGTGTATTCTATTGTCATTCTTTTTTTTTTGTCCTCTTTTTTTTTTTTCTTCTGAATCTGAATCGTTTGTATTCTCTTCTACGAATAAAAAAATGCAAGGTTTTGATTTCGATTGGTGGAATATATAAAAATAACAAAAGAATTATTAGATTTTTCTTTGTACAAATTCAATAGAACGTTAAAATGAATCAATGAATTCGTTTATTTACGTCTTTCTCTTTCTCTCTCTCTCTCTCTCTCTCTCTCTCTCTCTCTCTCTCTCTCTCTCTTTCTCTCTCTCGTTTTTTCTTCTTTTTTCTTCATTTTTTTTTTTTTTTTTTTTTTTTTTTTTTAATGCATCCGTTAGAATGCATTACAAATATTTGCCGAGCTATCGGTAAATTGCATTTAATCTCTTGGGAAATACATACGTCTGCGGTTGTGTATATGTATTATAGAAGAAACGACGAGATTAAAATTCGAAATGTTAAAAAGATTTTATTTCTACTTGGAAAACTCGAGTTCTGATTATTGCGATGAACCTGACCAAATGTATCAAAGGAAAGCTTATTTCCGATAGCAGATTTATATCAAAGGATAATCCCCGGTGATAACGCGCTTTTTATTAATTACCTATTAAGCTAATTAACTTTCTCCCGTCTGACGAGATGATTTTTTACGAATTATTGTTCGAAAAAATAAATTAATTTTATTAAAAAATAAATTAATATAATAAAATTATCATGAGTACAGAACAATTCTCGTTCTCGTTTTTATTTTTAATTTTTTAATTTAATTAATTATTATAGAACTTAATATAGAAGTTAATTAATTATATTCGTTAATTATTTTGTCACATTAATTCAATCATATATAAAAGTTTTATTTCGAATTTTACTTTATTCTCTTTTCTTTTTCTTTTTTTTTTTTTCTTTCTTTTTTGCATTATTTTCTTTTTTTTTCTTCTTCTTCTATAATTTAAATTCTCATTTTCATTTTAATTTAATTGATATTGGTATTTCGTTCACAGTGAGGCTGATTCTCGCGGAAGATGGTGATTTATATTTCTCAGTAAGTCCTGCTGAACATTCGGTGGTCGAAGGACATCCGGTTCGTCTTAGATGCGAAGCTCAGCCGAGTACTTTCGTTCAATACTCCTGGAAGATCGATGGAAAACCATTGGCACCGAGTCCAAGAAGGCATCACGTTGGCGGTGATCTCTACATAACTAGAGTCGATCGGATACTCGATAGTGGAAACTTTGTTTGTGTAGCGACTCATGTGGAAACTGGTTACTCGATCGAGAGCTCGCCAGCTAAAATCGACGTACAATGTGAGTTTTTACTTATTATATTAATATATAATACTTTTTATTGTCATTCCGTGTAATCTGATTTATTTATTAACTTTTTTATCTTATTTTTTTTTTTAATATGATATGTGCTATTAATGATAATACGAGTTCATTGATAATGTATAAATCATGATTTAATACGTATGTTTGGCTTTCTTCCTTTTTCGATTATTTTTTCAATTTGTTGGAAAAAATTATATTGATTAATCCATTAATAATATATGCTAAAAGTATTCTATTATCCTCTTTAATTTTTTGTTTATAATATACAAATCAAAATATAGCATTTTTATTATTATATATATATATATATATATATATAATAATAAAAATAATAAAAATATATATATATATATATATATTGTTGCGTAAATAAAAATAGTGTTATTATTATTTATTATCGTGTATAAAACAATAATAAAAATATTATATTGTGATGTGTACATTATTAAAAAAAAAAAAAAAAAAAAAAAATTAACGAACATAGTCAATTGAACACATCTTATTTTTTGGAAAAATTAGATCGGTTAGTTTGTTTAATGTATATTAGTAAAGATTACGTTTATTAATTTTTTTTGTGTGATATACAGATTATTACGTTTATTTATTTTTTTTGTGATATAATGAATATCCTTAGGATTTTTTTTTGAACTTAACTTATATTTTTCCAAAATATTACACCGTATGCTATTAATGTATACGTTTAATAACTTTTTTTCACAATAGTATACTAATGTATAATAAAATACGTTTGATATGATGACTATCCTTAATTTAAAAGTCAAATTAGATCAATTAATTATTCCAATAATGATCACATGGATCATTTAATTAACAACCTATTCTAATAATAATAATGATCAAATTATTACTTATATTTTTTATAATAACAATAATAAAAAAAAAGAGATAAAATATGTCTTTCTAGAAATAACAATTTCATTATATCGAACTTTATCATTCTTTGGAATCTATCAATTCTATCGAACAATAACGAACAATACCAAAAGCATAAATGATTACTTTGAACTAGTTGTCATGTGAAAAATAAAAAAAAATCATAAACGCGAGGGAAAAAGAAGTATTATTTTTCTCTACCTCTGTTTTTTCTCGCACGTTCGATTCATTCCTAATTGCACCCGATAAACCGATATACCTTTCATGTTCACGTTGCTTAATCAACAAAGGTAGACACCAGAGACCGAAACCCATCGCCTGAGGGATTTGAGAACGACGCTACACAGAGATTACAACGTGACTATATCATTGTCACGGCACTTTTTAATCGTCCTTTCTCCGCGAAAAGTATAGATCAAACGTTCCGTGTTCAGAAATTACAGAACTGCCGAGGGTGTAGCAAGAGAGAGAGAAAAGAGAAAGAGAGAAAAGACAAAGAGAAAGAGCAATAAAACGGAATAGGAAGAAGAAAGAGTAAGGATAACAGAGAGAATCTGCGAGATAGGGGATGAAAAGGATGAGAAAAAAGAAAGAGACAGAGAGAAAGAGAGAGAGAGAGAGAGAGAGAGAGAGAGAGAGAGAGAGAGAGAGAGAGAGAACGATGGAGTAAAAATCGATTGGTGATAGGAACCCCCAGACTTCAACCAATCTCTTTCCAATTGAATCGCGTTTATGTTGATCCGTTAAAAAAAAGAAAAAAAAATAAAGAAAAACAGTAAAAATGCAGAAAGAAAATAATAGCTCAAAGAATAAACTGCATATATCAGTTATTAATTATCATTTATGTAGTTTGTAGTCTCGATTAAAGAAATTCGTTAGATAATGATAATAACAATTTCTTTTTACAATGTATTTCATATTTATTTATTATTTATTTAGATTGTTAATTAATTTGCTTATTAAATTTCTACATACATTTTTTACATTATTAATTGATCGATTGATTTATTGATTGATTAATTGATTCGTTTAATTTATTTACACAGATTTTTATATTTCTTCTAATATCATTTCTTCTTTTATGTATTAAAATTTTTACGTGCATACTAAAATATTATTATAATCCATTTATTTAAATTTTATTACGTATGTACATTACGTTCCTACTGTATTATCATTTATTTAGATTTATATATGTATATATATATATATATATATATATATATATATATATATATATATATATTACGTTATATTGATTATTCATTTATTTAGATTGTTACGTTAATTAGGTTATCAATAAATTTATATATTTACATTGTTACGTATATTAAGTTACTAATTATTCATTGATTTAGATTGTTAAATGAATCTATTATTTATATATCGTTATATATATATATATATATATATATATATATATATATATATATCGTATTATTAATTATTTAGATTATTATTAATTCATTAATTCTTCTGCTAAAGTATATTACAAATAATTTATACGTTTGCATACATTTTTTAATTACTCAGACCCACACATACAAACATGTATATATATATCTACATACATATGAGTATAAATATAGACTATAGGTGTAGTAATAATTTTATATCCTTTTCTCGAAAAAAGTATTAATTCGATTCGACGTTTGGTCTAGTGACGCATAACTCCATCCAATTATTATTCGGTCGCGCGACATTAATTAAGCAAGATAATTTGCCCTCGAAGCGAGCTGCCCAATATGGCGTCGTCGTGTGCTAAAGCTCTCTCTCTCTAATTTTCTCTTTCTCTTTCTCTCTCTGTTTCTCTCTCTCTCTCTCTAATTTTCTCTCTCTCTTTCTCTCTCTCTCTCTCTCTCTCTCTCTCTAATTTTCTCTCTCTCTTTCTCTCTCTCTCTCTAATTCCCTCTTTTTCTCTCTTTCTCTCTCTCTCTCTTTCTCTCTCTCTTTCTCTCTCTCTCTCTCTCTCTCTCTCTCTCTCTCTCTCTGTCTGTCTCTCACTCTCTCTCGGCGACCCGTTCAGTCGCGTCAAGCTTTACATTTTAATGATTCGAGAACACTATTAGAGTAAGAGAGAGAGAGAGAGAGGGAGAGGGATAAGGATAAAGTTTATGCAACTGGTGAGGAAAGAGAAGACGAAAATAAATCCGACGGCTTGCTCGCAAAAAAGAAAGAATGGAAAAAAATATTTATATATATATATATATACATGCATAAAAATATTAAAAAATATATATATATATATGCGCGTATACATATGTCTATATAATATCATGGTGCGAAGGTACATATTTTTTTCTTTCTTCACTCTCTCTTTCTCTCTTACTCTCTCTCTCTCTCTCTTCCTCTCTTTTCTTTTCTTCCTTTTTTTTTTGTATCAGAAACGCACAAACGAGCGTATTCGTCGAATAGAGTAAAATTGTGAAGGAAAGCGTGATAGAGAGGACGGAGATAGAGAGCAAGGGGATGTAAGGGGATGAGGAGGGTTGGTTGTAGGTAGCGACGTGAAAAATATAAAGATAAAAAAAAACATAAAAAATAATAAAAATACAAATAAAAATAAACAAAAAAAGAAGTATGCGGCAGTCAACAGTGGGACCAGGAGACTTGTGCGTTCGTGTTGTATTGAACGAGTAATGAAGAAATTTGCAGAAATAAAGAAAAAAAGGGGGAAGCAGAGAGAGAGAGAGAGAGAGAAAGAGAAAGGAGAAAAAGTGCATATTATTAAATCGACAGTGAGACGGAGAAGGAATGTCGAGACCATAAGAGAGAGGAAGAGAGAGTGAGAAACGACGATGGGCGTCGTTAGCGGGCACGTCGCCTCGTTATTATGTATCGTTTCATAATTATTATTACACGCGGCTGCCACTGCCGGTGGAGTGCATCGAGCATGAGTACGTTTTAACGCGTCCTTGATACACCGTCACCCGACTCGATTCCCTTTGATAATTGCAACAAATATAATAATCATCATGAGAGAGTGTGTGTGTGAGAGAGAGAGAGAGAGAGAGAATGATGACGATGAGATAGTAAAAATATTTATGATAATAATGTATTTTAATAATATAATCTTGTGGTAATGATGATCTTAAATATTATCGTCGTCGTTTATGAAACGATAAAAATAAAATTTTATTTTAATACTTTTCTCTCTCTTTTTTTCTTATATTTCTTCTCGTTCAGTTTAGTTTTGTCTTGTTTTGTTTTGTTTTAATATTTTGTTTATGATTTTTTGTTTTTGTTTATGATTTGATATGAATTTTTAAATGTAAAGATAAAGGAGATTGAGAGAATCGACGTGTTTTTCATGTCTACTAATTTAATAATTAGTCGATATTTTCTTAATCGGTCGATGTAATTGTCGGGCCATTTTTTTGTTTCGTTATGTTTTGATTGATAAAAACTTTTGTTTGTTTAAACATTTTAACAACGATAAATATGACGAATTTACGATAATAATTTGAAGATAAACGAATCGATAATCATGAAATTAGACAAAATTTTCTTAAGACTTGGACAAATTAGCGATTCATTTATTTCTTTTGAATTTATTCAAGGTTAAGCGATTATATTTCATATATTTTCTCTTTTTCGTATTAGTATTCTTCTTTTTCAAATAATTTTTTAATGAAAAATTTTGCGTGTGTACGTGACAAAAATTTGAAGATAAAATAATTTACGGATATAAAGTTAATGGAAATTTTGTTAAGATTAAAAAAATTAATAATCCAATTTCTGTTTTAAATAAATTCAATTTTTTAATTACCTTTTATATACATATCTTTCGATTGCATTTATTATCTTTTTTTAAATTTTTTATTATATATATATATATATATATATATAATATATATATATATATATACTCCATGTCAAGAAATTTGTCCAAGTACGCTGCATTAAATTTCTCAATGATGTATATAAAATTTTACATCTGTGACGAATAATTTCAAAACATTATATATATATATCCGGTTCGATCGAAGAAGTTACAGGATTTGTTTCGGTATTGGATCACGACGGTGAGCTCATCAATGCGTGCTTAATTAATCGACGTCTAGGTAGAAGTTACATCGAGG